TATTAATAATTTATACGATGTGTACTCTTCTGAAATTCTTAAACTTGTATATAACTAGCAAACGAACTATCGTCTCCAAATGTGAATTTTCTTATCAATATAACATAAGAAATCCAAGGCCTTTGTCATAACTAACAAAGTAGTATGATTATTCTAACAGGTCATTTCTATGTATTAGCAAAATATTTATTGTATATAATTGAGATATACAAAGGTGAATAAATACATTGAACGAAACAGAAAAGTTGGTCATGGTCATTTTGTGTGTATACTCGTGTTATTCGTATCTAAACAGCAAGGCTTGAAATTAATTCATCTAAAGTAAATGTTTTTGGTACCATGTACGAACTTTTGTTGTTAAAGGAGACAATTAACATATCTTTGGTAGTATCTATTGCTTTATTTATAGTACACAGCTGAATCACTTGGCTTTTTTCTCAAAATAAAGTGATTTAGTTTTTCTTGGGAAATATCAAGTTATCATTTAGTTGAATTCACGGTATTTTAGACTTGGAAAGGTTAATAAATCTCTTTAAATACTCACAGTGAGCTTCAAGATTATGACTATTATCCATATTTAACAGGATGTTAGAAACTAGTTATTTGTTAGTTCGAATTATATCTCACAATCTGAAAGAAACTCACGAGGATTAAAATGAATGACAACATCATTCTTTGGAATTTCATCTTCTGTTCATGTATATGAATATCTGAACTTTTTAGTTCAATTTTATTAGGAATAGTTTTCAATTTACACCAGTTTTTAATAGCAATTTTATGTAAAGATCTGGAAATCAAAAAGAATAAATGATCAATATTTCTCTGTTTGACCCATATCATTAAAATGTAGTTGTATCAAACTAGTGATTGATCAAGCAATCACGACTAGAGTATAAACTGAAGTGTTATGCGTAAAGCTAGACAATATAAAAGAATGATGCTAAGAAATATAACCTGCCAATAAGATACCCACTTTTTATTTGACTTTTTTCATTCTAATGAATTTTTGATGTAAAGTGTTACTTCCAGTATAAGCTTTAGGTTTCCAGTATAGATCAAGTAATACAATGTTTAGTCAAAGAATTAGGTTGCACTGTGCTCATTTAATAGGCTTTATGTAGTAGTTTATTTTGTGAAAAACATAAAGAGAATTGTGGTACTTTCAAAAACTGAATAATTTTACTGTATAAAAATGCATAAATTTCTCATTGGTCAAATTTCACGAAGTCGATGTTAATGTGGATTTATATGTTTCAATGTTTTAGTAAAGCTAGTTATATCGTTCACATAGAACATACAAATTTCAGTGTTAAACTGTCGTATTATATAGCTAATCATAAGATACAAAAACGTTCTATAGCAGCTACAGATCATTTGTAATAATAAAGTCATGATAGCGGAGTTCTTTAGATTTCTATCTTATTTACCGTGAAAGAATTAGATATTTATTTATTCATAAATGCGTTAAAGATTATCTTCTATTTTCAATTTTGATTCTAATCATCTTCAATTTTTACTCACTTTTTATGTAGTTATATATGCATCATTATCACGCAAAGCCAACTACAATCTTACTCTCTCTGGATCTTTGATGTGAATTTTCTTTTTTCATACACATAGTTCCCTTTATCATTTTGAAAAGAGCAAGAACAAAGATTTTAGCAGAATAGCATAAATTCATTTTATTTCGTAGGTTCTCGTCAGCTGCTTACAACCTGTGATATTTAAAAATCATAATTACATAATTGATTTAAATTGCTTACAGAATATTGTAAATATATACCTAATGTGAAAGAATATTCTACAACATTAATTGTGACAACAGTTCAAAAATGGGTTAGAAACAATTGATTACATAATGAATAAACATTGATAGGAATATAGTGATTAGAGTTCAGTTGAAAGATTATTAATTTGAAAGATAGTTGAAAAAATAAATTAGAATCAATGATGTAATAAATGCAACAGAAAAAAGAGGAAAAAAGGAAAAAAAAAAATTTTAAGGTTCAGTGAAGGAATATTTGTCACCAGGGTAAGGAAAGATTAACCACCGTCTCCTTTTGAATACATAGGTCAGGTTTTTGTCGCCTGATGGCAATGGCTTCAGCAAACTTCAGAAGACTGGAGTTTGGCTGCTTATTAATCACCCTAAAGGATTATAAGGTATCTACCTGATGTCCTGTATCAAGGAGATGTTTGGTGATCGCACTGTTCAGAGTCTTTCTTTCCCTTGTTCTAAGACTTTTTGGAACATGTTCAAAGAATCTAAGATATGCTCTCCTTTCAGTTCGGCCGATGTAGCTGCTTTGGCAGGTACACGTACATTTATAAATACAGTTGGCGGTAACATGAAAGGGTTGCTTGTCGATCTTTGATTGGGTTATTGAACATGTTGTTTTATAGAGAATTAAAAGTTTAGCAGCCGGATAAGTTCTGGCTAGCGCTGTATTCAGTCTCTTGTTGATAATTTGTGCGACGTCATCACCTTTAAAGTTAAGATTTATATATACTGGTTTTTTATTGACCATAGTTATTTCCGTCTTCTTTTCCTTGGGCCTTTTATATTTGTCAATAAATTTTTGTGGATAAAAGTTGTCTTTTAGGCATTTTTCTACGTTCATTAATTCTTCTTCCAGTTTGTCGGTTGTGCATATCTTTTCTGCCCTGTAAAATAGTGTTTTAACCAACGCCTTCTTGTAACTAATTGGACAAAAACTATTGAAATTCAGGTAGAGGTCGTTCCAATTACTTTATCTATAAATTGAACGTTGAACTGTCCCGTCTCCACTGCGTTTTATGGCAACATCAAGAAAGTGGAACATATCGTTCTGTTCGTGCTCCATAGTAAAATGTATGTTATTATGAGCGTTATTGAAGAGTTTGAGCAGGCGGATTGCATGTTGTTTATTATTACAGATAATAAATGTGTCGTCCACATATCTTGAGTATTCCGTTGTTTCATTAATTGCCTGTTTAAGTATTGTGTTCTCAAGATACCCCATAAAAATATCTGCCATAATTGGACCTAGTGGACTACCCATTGCTACGCCATCGATTTGGCGATATATGGTGTTGTTAAATTGGAATTGAACATCTGTTGTACATATTAGTAGTAGTTTTTTGAATTCTGAGGCTGGTAAAGGTAGGAGATCTTCATTCTGACAAATTATATCAATAGTTTCAAAAAGTGGTATATTGGTGAACAAGGATGTTACATCAAAAGAGACCATGAACTTGTCGTTAACATTCGTATGATTTAGTCTTTCAGCAAACTGGAATGAATCTCTTAACGTATATGTTGCTAATCTACGACGAACCGGTTCTAGTTTTTCTGCTAACCAGCGTGCGACTTTATGATATGGTGAGTTGATCATTGATAGGATAGGTCTAAGAGGAACGTCATGTTTGTGAACTTTTGGTAAGCCATACATATGAGGTAGACGTGAACCACGTGGTTTTAGATCGTTGTAAGTAGAATTATCAATCATTTTCTTTTTTAGGAGTTCTCTAAGCATGCCTGTGATTCGTTTTTCTGTTGAATCAGTCAAATCTTTTTTGGATTTATCTACTTTGAACCTCAGTTGGTCGTCGAGGATTGACTTCATCTTAGTGACATAATCAGCTGTATTCAATAAGACAACACCTGAACCTTTATCCGGTCGTAAAACCATCACCTCATTATTTTGTTTGATGTTTCTGAGGGCTATTAGATGTTCTTTGGATAGAATATTCGACTTTGGTGTCGATGACACGAAGTATTGGTTGGCAATATCAACTAACTTTGATTTGAACCATCCTTTCTTTTCCTCACATATTGGCTGCAAATCTTTTAACTGGTCAAACAGATTTTCGAATTGAGCTTCTGTATCAATCCTGTCAGTATTTGTTTTTGGTATATGAAATTTGAGTCCCAGTGATAAGGCTTGTGTTTCTATACTATTAAGCTTCGTATTTGATAAGTTATAGATTAACTTCGAAGGGTTTTCTGGAAACCCTAAACATAGTTGTTCTCTTATCAAAGTTTTCGATAGAGATTTATGGAAATCCTTGCAAATCTTGATTTGAAGATCATGAATAAAGTTCATGAATTTTCTTCGACATACAATGTTTAGATCATTATTAACAGCTTTAACAAAAGCACCGGCCTCAGTCCTTAGTCGTGTAATGAGTAATTTTGTCGATTCAATATGAGATTTGGTAATGAGTCTCAGGTGTTTAAGCGATGGTGGAAGTTTACATGAACGTAAAGATTTTACAAACTGACGTGGGAAACAGTTCGACGTGAGACATTCTCCATAAAACTTGACCCTTGTAACTTCTCTTGATATTCTGCAACGTACTGTCACAAGGTGATTCAGTGACTTAAATAACTGATCAGGGAGGCGTTTTTTGAGAAATTTCATACACATAGTTCCCTTTATCATTTTGAAAAGAGCAAGAACAAAGATTCTAGCAGAATAGCATGAATTCATGCTATTCTGCTAAAATCTTTGTTCTTGCTCTTTTCAAAATGTGAATTTTCTATTTATTCTACAAATACTTTTCAATATAATGTTATGCATTTATTCTATCATCTGACATCTGCTTATGGATGTGAGTTTTCGCAGACATAGTTTGTTATGTAACAGAAACCTATTGTATATGCGTATATCGCTATTCATAAAAAAAGGGCGTTTAAAATTACGACCATACACCTTCTCTTTATTATTTCAACTATACAATTAACTCTTGTCAAAAATGCTAATAAATTTAAACTATTGACTATCTCATAGTTACAGTGATTATCTTCACTTACTTCTAAAGTTTCTAACTCACTATTATAGTTTGACAGACTGTTCCAAGAAAAAAAGTTCATAAACAAAATGATAACAAAACAATCATCCATTATTACTTTAGTTTCAATAGTTTATGTGTGTAATTATAACTATTATCTGAATAGTAAACAAATATCCGCCAAAAAAAATAATACCTTAGAAACTAATGAAAGTACTAAAACATATCAAGTGGATAAAGTATATATATATTTTTGAAGAAAATATATCACCATTCAAAATAAATTTATTTACATTTGTTGTATATATATGTATATATATGCAGAGAAAGGTGTATTTGAAAAGAGTAACCATTTGTGAACATTTTTTTGTATTATGTATAAGTATATACCAATGTAATTTTTTAATTATTTCATATGCTTCACTTATCATACATGCAGAGAAGCGAAAAAGAACAAATTTAATATCACATGCATTAAGGAGAGAGAGAAGAGAGAGGAGGGAAAAACAGGGTACAAGTGCAAATAGTCAATTTGAAATTTCATAGTTTAGACTAACTTATAGTAAAACACAATCATACAGAATATTTTATCCTAACATTTTGTTTTTCTTCTAAAAAAAAACAACAAAAAAACAAAAACAAAGAGGATTACCAAAGATGAAGTGTATATATTCCTTATTTATCAAGAGTAAAATGTTTGACGGTTTTTAGATGTATTATTTACTTCCGAGTGTATTTATACAAGTATACTTCATATAACTTACTTCTTTCTTTGTATTTTTATATTTAGAAATACATAATAAATTTTATGTCAATTAAAAAAAAGATTTTCTTTGTTAATATTTTAATGGTTGTTGCTATGGTGGTGGTTACGGTGATGTGTTAGTCTAGTTGTTTGTTTTTTTTGAGGGGGGGGGCTATTTTTTTATATTGCTTTCTTCAATATTTGTTGGTCGGCCAACACTCTTTCTGTCTTCTACTTATGTCTTTTATTTTAATAGAAAAAAAGCGTCAGAAAATATTTAGAATTTATCATATAAACCCAGGAAGGAATCTTAAAGTATTTATATAATGTATATATCTACATCTATAATAAACTTGTATAACGATTTAAGCAGTTTCAATTAAACCAGTTGATTAAGTATTCTGATAGATTTTTTTGCTTTAGAATCTATTTATAGATAGAAAATGAGACTAATTTATGTTTACATTTAATGTTTTCACACAATTTGAAAAACGTTAAAAGTATAAAAGTGGGGATGTATAATTTTCCGCTTCTTCTTTCACGTTTAGTGACAATGAATAATTCAAATAGAACGTTTTATTGCCAAATGAGTTAGGAATTGTGTATTTATGTTCAGATGTTGATTCTTCATAACATGATCCAGGAAAGTTGAATATGAGGTAATTTTTTGATAAAAGAAAATATTTTCTTTAAACTAATATGAAAAGACGTTTGTGATTATTACATATATGAACTAGATTTGACTTTTGAGAAATATTGAAATGAAAATTTTTAACAAAATGTTATTATGATTACAAAATAACAAATGCATTCAAGAAAATGCTATTTATACTGTTAGTTGAAGTTCTGGATTTGATAAAGGATTTGATTTTTGTTTAGATTGATTATTGACTGATTGGTTTAATGCATGGTTACTAGCTAATGGAGGTAAACCAATACTTAAACCATTTCTTACCAATCGATGTTGTTTCGATGCTGAATCATAATCATTTTCTGATGTATTATAATCTGTTGTAGACTGTCCTCTTAAATCAATTCTTAGTGGTGTTTGAATTATGTTTGACGACTGATCGTCTAGTTGATTAAAACCATTATGATCAAAATTGTTATTTGAATGCGTCAATTCATGGTTATTTTCCGAATGTGGGTATAAACCTGAAGCACTTGAATTCATTTTAGCGGAAGATTCACTGTATTTTGAGAGACCTGATGGCATATTTGTTGTGTAATTTTTACGTAATGTGACGGTAGATGAAGGCATCTGTGGACTTCTAGGTGGAGGTACGGGAGGTAAACTGTGTTCACCTCGTGAATGTTCCATTTGCTGTTGTTCTAGCGTTAATGGCATTATTTTCTGAGGTGATGTATGCTCTGGATGATAAGTCATTCCGGGACCATTGTTATTTCCATACTGAGCTATTGGTTGAATGATTGTATTATCAGAAACTATATAACATGCACATGAACCGCCTGGTGTTGGATTTTGACATGCGATTGAATGGAGTTTAGTCAAACTTCCTGTGTTATCTAAACTCGGATTTCTGTAATAGCCAATTCTGCTGCTTGGACGATATCCAGAGTACGTGTTATACTGATATGTGCCGTGCTGTCCAGGTATGTTCATGCCATCTGCAGTCAAATGTAAAATGGAATTTGGTAATTTTATTAGAATATATATATACTTGAAAGTAGATAAATAAACATACAAGGAGTTATTAAGCAAGAGCTGGTTATCTCAAGTCCTAAATATGATCGTAAATGTTTACATTAGGAGCTTAATGACTCTTCTTTAAAAGACAACTTTCATATAATAACATGTGCGATCAGTCAATGAGGATATCCAATACAGTGTATTAATACTTCAAATCAGATAGGCTACATTCTATCACTCAAAACACAGCACTAAATCTCTAGTACGGATATTTACTAGTTGAAGTAAAAATATTCAATCTTCTGTTGTATATTTTAGTGTATTTACTTATGTAAGTACATTTCAGCTGTGTTATATATCTGAAGATTATCAAGATTAATCGCATGAACAAAAATACTATTTTTCCATATAAAAATAAGCATCATAAACAGTTCATCGTTAGACGCTCTAGTCAACTTCTAGTTTTTCTTCGTATTAGTTTCTTCAGAATTTCTGTATTGTTTCAAATAAAATATCTAATAATGAAGATGATACTTACTGTAAATAGAAGTTCTATCATATCGGATATTTTTACTGACAGTATTTCCTTTAAATTTAATTTCTAAGCCATAAAGAAACAAAGTTTAGTTTTTGCTATTTACTACACTACATAGTTTTCAGGCAAATAATATATACATACTATTGTGGTGTGTGCTAATGATGTCGACTGATATGAGTTGTATTTAGCATCAATCGGAAGTGAAATGCCTGTTGGCAGAAGATTAAGAAGATCAAAGCAAAAAGAACGAGAACAAAGAATGTTTAGTGTCGAAACGAAAAAAAAACAATGAAGTTTGAAATGACTGATTTACAGTTTTCAAATGAAGTATTTACTATATAATTCTCAGATTTCACTAAGATGTTCTGTAATTTTTCATTCAAATACATTCGATTGTCCTCACTTGTTTTCTTGTTCACTAAACTATAAGTTAGTTAACCACTTTCTTATTTCACTGTAAACAATAGAATACATATGTACATAATATATACTTATTTTAGTTATTTTGTTTACTGTAACTAGGTTATTTGTTATGAAATAAAAAAGTAAATAAATAATTTAATGTTAGTCCAAAAATACAAATGTTCTTATCTCATTATGAAATCATTATTACTTACAATAGGAAATAATTTGATTTATCTAAGTTAATCAGTTACTAGAAGTATTCCTATGTTCTAGTTGTTAACAATTCCTTGTTTTTTTTTTTTGTTTTTTTTTCTATTTTATTTTCACTAATCAAATGAATGTATTACATAAATAGAAAAAGAATGACTGATTTAATTGAATTGACTTTTGAAATTATAGCGCACAATATAAACACCTTTTCTTCTAAGAAATTTCTTTCTTAGAAAGAGTGTTTTTCTTTCTTTATTTATTGAAACTAACAACAGCGAAAGTGAATGTCACTTGTTCATTCATCTTCTTCTTTTTGTTTTTTTTGTTGGTATAAAATCTGTTCACCATTTCAAGTGATAAAATAAATAAGAACTAAATGGAAAGATGGAACACTTTGATTGTTTCTTTTTCTTTTTTGTTGTTGAGCTGTTCAAGTGCCTAGAAAACTGTTAAAATTACTTTTACTTATTTTCATTTATTTATTTTTCATTAAATAAGGTTGAAAAACCTGGCTTTAGTTCAAAATTGCTTTCGCTTTCATTATCAAGTGAGTGTTGGTTAATATGAGATCCATGCAGCATAAATACACATTGATATTATTAGTATTATATAGAACCACTACTGGTTCAAATGTATATAACATCAAAATAACAAATATTTCGTACAAGTAATTAACTAGTGAAACATTTATCATATTCATGTAATATGGGCCAGGATGAGTCTATAAAATACAAATGTGCACATATTTAGTAAGTATACAAATTACAATGAAGAACTGAATTATCATTCGTTCAGACCATCTCATCGTCAAGTTTCAAAAAAGATTGTATTTTCAGTGATAATCATTGCTAGGATCGACTAAGTTGATAACTACTTCATGTTTAATATATATATTTATACTTTTGTAAGTATATTTCTACTGTTTATGTGAAGAATTGTGTTTTATTGCGTATTAAGGCGACAAAACGCTTTATTTTTTCAAGTTTTAAATTAATCATGGTATACACAATGGATTATTTACTGATTTATAAAACAAACGTAATTAAGTTTATCCAATCAAGAGAATCATTATTGATTGATAATGTTTGTTAAATGATAACAAGAAATAAACTGATTACTTACTAAGATTTGTGAAATACTATCATTTGAATAAATCTCAAAAAATAACAAAATGGTAAACAAAGTTTTCAGTCTTCATGAAATACGGTTACATAATTCTAATGAGAGAAGTGATGAAACAATCAGGCTATGTGGTGTGTGCTACTTATATTGATATAAGTAGTATATGACGCGAGTTAAAGAACGTAATGTATGGCAGTAGAAGATGGGGGAAGATCAAGAAAGGAAGAGCAGGAACGCAATAGAATTTGTAAGAAAACGCATGAACCATGAAATGTGAGACAATGGATTGATGATTGTAACAGCAACAGTCCGGTTTGATATGATACATTAATATTTTGCAAATTAACGATTTACTATTTGGTTTTTCTATTTTACCGAGTAACTCTGTAATTGTGTGTTAAGTACATTTGATTGTCCTCGCCCGTGTTCTGTTCACTACTATACTAAGAGGATTTTATATCGCTTTTTAAAAAAAAAATGAGATATTTTTATGACACTTCATATTGTTATTGGTTCAGCATAACTATTAATCTCCTGAACGCATTATTTCTTGTTTAATTCATATAAAATTATACAGAAAAACAGTCTTCTACTACTATCTGATCCATATTTGTTCTAATCATTAATCTTATAATTTCATTTCACATATAAACTTATTCAAGTTAACGTTGTATATTAATCATATCAACATTATGGATTTTGTTTTATTTCAAAATCTTTAATTCTTATGTTATGAGTTTAAACTATGTATTTTGCCTCAAACCTAGTTACATAGTAGATTAATAATATGATTGTAAAACTTAGCTAGACATTATTGAAAAGAATATTCTTCATTCATATATTAAAATATCAAATGAATGTTCAATTTTGTGTGATACGTTTCTCAAATACAGTGTTTAAAAGTAAAATGAGTTTTAATAGCATACAAAGTATGCTACTGATGTTAAATTTAACAAATCAGTTTTAAAAATCAAAAATAACTACTTACTTCGATAATTATCTGATAATAAAAATTGATTGCCTTCTTCAGATGGACCTCTGCCTGAATCTCCACTGTCAGCATCTAAATGAGGTTCATAAGCGATTGCACAACCAGGTGGAGCGGCAAATACACTTTGCCCAACTGAACCACGTGTTCGTGTTAAAGTCTGAAATATATGTAGGAAATAATATAGGAAATTTAAATACTAGCAATGTTTAATCAAAGACAAATATAATTTCATTAGTCCGTATACATTTATTTTTTGCCTCAATTTACACTATTTGGCTCGGCTGACATATAAATATCTCTACATCTTTTAAGAAGAATATTCATTCCTACTAGGGAATAAACAAATTATGAAGTGGAATGCTGACAACACAATAGTCTAACCATGTTATCAGATTCTATGTCTAATTGTAAAATTAAGCATTTAACACAAGAGTGAGTAAAAATTTCACAAGTCAATCTAGATGGCAACTGAAAGAAAACTAAAATATGGCTGTTCTGAAAAATTATTTTCATCATTTTAAACAGTTATTATTGAATTTAAAAAAATATTTTAATTACAACGAATACAATTTAACAATCAGTTCAGATGATAACCTGTCACCTCATGATCGAGGTCTAAATGAAGAAAATAGTCCCTTATATTTCCGATATTAGACAATTTTTTGCAATGATCACATCACTTTTTGTGTCATTTTGGGTAAAATTAGTTTCTAAGTTCACCTAATCGTTCATTCCACGAATACGCGAAATGAAACACATTAACTAGAAAAAATATTAGAATAAATGTGATATTAACCATAATTACTCTCAGTTTTGTTCAGTATAATATTAAAGCGACTCTCCCATAATCAATTGCGATTATGGTCAACTTTCGTTAAACCCTTTTGTTAACTTACTTAACAGACAATGTTATTCAAACAGTAAAAATTTGCATATTTCTTTGTACTATCATGTCGGGTACAAAAAGTTTATGCTTGATCACATGAGAGCCTACGTATATAACTCTCTCAAGCTTAAATATCTCTCGACGAGTTATTCTCTTTCCCATTTATGTAAGTGCTTCACCATTTAAATGCTTGAATCCTATTAATAACCTTTACCTCACCAACCTGCGGCTTATTTGATTTCACCATAAATTTGCCTTTGTATTCGCTCGCATACATACATTCACCTCTATGCTTCAAATTAGCACGGTGTGCATATAGCTTTGTGATCTGTGCTATCTGCTAATAAACTGTAGTCACTGCTTCTTATTACCATCTGATTTCAAACAACATTAGGATTTATATAATAATAGCTATCAACGTGATTGATTAACAAACTAACCCACTACTATATTATTCCGTACAGATAAATTACTTAATTACGCCTGTTACTCCCAATGGAGCATAGGCCACCGACCAACTTTCTACAACCCACTCTGTCCCGGGCCTTCCTTTCTACCTCTATCCAATTTTTGTTCATTCTTCTCATGTCTATCCCCATTTCTCGACGTAATACGTTCTTTGGTATTCCTCTCCTCCTTCTTTGACCTCCACGATTCCACGTGAGGGCTTGTCTTGTGACGCAATCGGGTGCTTTCCTCAATGTGTATGCTATCCACTTCCAACGTTTCTTCCTGATTTCTTCCTCCACTGGGATCTGGTTTGTTCTCTCCCACAGTAGGTTGTTGCTAATAGTGTCCGGTCAACGGATCCGGAGTATTTTGCGTAGACAACTGCTAATAAACACTCGTATCTTCTGGATGATGGCTTTCGTAGTTCTCCATGTTTCCACCCTATATAGTAGAACTGTTTTGACATTTGTATTGAAAATTCTGACCTCGGTGTTGGTTGATAGTTGTTTTGAGTTCCAGATGTTCTTCAATTGTAAGTATGCTGCTCTTGCTTTGCCGATCCGCGCATTCACATCTGCATCAGATCCACCATGTTCATCAATGATGCTGCTCAGATACGTAAATGATTTTACATCTTTCAAATGTTCTCCGTCAATTGTGATTGCATTGTTGCATGCTGTGTTGTGTGGGAGAATTCTGCTTTTCTCTTTGTGTATATTGAGACATACTGCTGCTGAGGCTGCTGCCACACTGTTCGTCTTCTCTTGCATTTGTTGTTGCGTTTGGGATAGAAGATCCAGATCATCTGTGAAGTCCAGATCGTTCAACTTCATCCTATCTGTCCACTGTATTCCGTGCTTCCCTTCAGATGTTGAAGTCTTCATGATCTAGTCGATCACCAGGAGAAAGAGAAAGTGTGGGTGTAAGCAACCTTGTCTCAAACCGGTATTCCTTACAGACACTTAAAAAATTTAAGACACTACATGGTGATTATTTAAATTATTCTTTGAAATTCACTTAAGAAAAAGCATTTTTGAATTTTGACTCAAGCAAACATTATTCTTCTCTTATTCACTTAAATAGTTTGTCTATCAAAACGTGAGGTGAAAAAAACAACTTTTTTTACACAATAAATCAAATTAGATCAATTTTGAATTGTTTTTTCCCTAATTTTTTTTATTAGTTGAAGTTAAAATAGACGTAGAATATTCATAAAACTCATTTCCTAGAGGAAAGAAAAGAAAACAAAATACTATGAAATAAACAATGTTAACTATTACATGATTGATGGATAAATAAGTAATCGAACTTTTGAACTTAATCAATTTGTATTTTTGAAGAAGAAAAAAAAGAAAGAAAAACAAAGAGAAAATGAATAAATAAAATAAAATAAATGAACAAATGTTGAAATAAACAAACTTATTCATGAAGTTGTTTACTATATTGATTATTTCATTAAATATTGTAATCTAATATAACTAGAAGGTTATATTTTAATGATTTCTATTAAAACAATGATTGATCAATCAACTCTTGATTTATAATGTTGAATTTCTTATTGAGAATTCGAACAGGATAGACTTATTAATGTATCTTACTATTTAAGTAAATGTTTACTCTATAATTTTATTTATTAACAATGAATTCTCGATTTATTTACACTATTTTTTTCAGAAGGGGTTTTGTGGAGATTCTAGTGAGAAGCTGTGACCAGTGAAGTTCAGTCAGGTCTGTTGTGAGATATCAGCTCACTGAAAACAATGGTGTACGGTGGCGCGATTTCTTGAATTGGTTGAAGTTAGACATTAACACTGATGGATGTCGGCTTAGTGGTCTAATGGTTGAGTACTCGCTCATGAGACTGATAGGTCCTGGGTTCGGATCTCGGGGGGGGGGGCAGGATTGTGGATGCGCACTGCTGAGAAGTCTCATACTTGGACGAAACGGCCGTCCAGTGTTTGAGGGTTTTCCATGGTGGTCTAGCTTTAACTGACTCATGATTTTAACTTTTCTCATTTGTTTTTTTCTTGTATTTTTAAAATAACGTAATGTATAGATGAAATCAAGTCATACAACATAAGAGAAAAACACAGAATGTAGTTATTAATAGCAAGGAAAAGAAATACTATGGCTAAGGAAGTTGTTGGTTTATTCTAAGAAAAAAACTGTGAATAATTTTGTTTATTTGTAGTAATGAAAAAAACGTGATTATTAAAGTAATTCTTTTTTTGGATGAAGAGGTATTTTGTGATATAAATCTCATTGATTTCTAATGAAATAAATGTTGAACACTGAGCCCTGTTCAACCACAAAGAACTGTGAATATTGAAACTATATCCAGTATTTTGGACCTATTGTGAACAATAAATAGTGGTTTAGTGGCATGGAATATAACTCCAATTGGATTGTATGATTGATCGTTATTGAGATATACATTTCGAAATATATATATGTCGTCAATACTCGTATATAATTATCGACTCAATCCACGTTAGTGAATAACGGAATTAAATAAGCCAAATACGACAATCAGAGGAACGAGGAGAAATGATGCGCGGTGAAGAAGGCGTATGAGCCAACTCTATTTAGTTAAGCGTTAATCAATATTTGTCATACAATAATAAGGATATGATGTACACACATAAAAACGGTCAAGGTCGATAAGTGAATAATTAAAAAGGTCAAAACGTGGCGAAAAAGATAGATAAATTGACCCGTCCAGAAGCTATAATAAGTTATATGGGTTTACCATAGTAACCGACACTAGAGGAGATATGTTTAACCTTCTATATTTCTTTTTGTGAATAAATTACGTGGTGACCAGCTAACAGCCAGAACCAGTCTACTTATTCCTCAGTGTTTATTGAATTCTTTTGCTTAATTTGCATTTTGACTAATAATGTAAAAAGATTAGAACCAAAGTAGTCTTTTTAATGATCGAATTAGTTGAGATCTCAGATATCATATTGATGATAGTCAGTTAAAACAAATTAAAAGTTTAATGTTTTCTGTTTCTTATCTTTAACAACACTTTCGCGAATTTGTATGTATATTTTAATCACAATAGTTTTGAGTTTTTAACTAGCGCTTCGTATTTAAAATTTCTCAGTGTTACCAAAAGGTTACTTGGTACCTTTTATCCTAAAGATTTATAATAAAAAAATTTAGTGCCTATATCAACACTATACCATTTTTTAAAACAAGTTGGGGGGGGGTGATTTTGTAAACTTTTTATCGCTAGTGCATTTTATGTTGATGAACGGTAGACAACAACAGGGAGAGGTATTGGTTTGTTTATCTACCTCACATCGGATACCATACACGAAGCATATAGTCACTTAATGACAATATTAAATAGAACTAATAACAGTGATTCTAATAATGGAGACAGTTTACCGGTCATGTAAATGTTTTGATGTTGTTCGGCTCTCTAAAATAGGTAAGTTCATTGTAGAGCTATATTCCAAAAAAATGCTTAAACTTTAAGCTTGTAGAATGCAAAACCCATCAAAAATTTCAATCTGTCAGATGTCGTCCCGATGTGAATCTACTATACTTTCTGTTCTGTAATTTGCAACTGAACTGAATCAGTTGTTAGTTTCTTTTAAATGTTTAAGACTTTACGATGACTTTATTAGATAAACTTAAATGAATTGATACAATTAAAAGAATCAGTAGTACAAAACAATATGAATAAAAAAATTATTAAAATTGTTCATTCCAAAACCTGAGTTTCCATCGAATTGCGGAAATGTTTAGTCATGTGATGCATACCGATCAAAGAATGACTAGTCACTACATTTTTAAAACAATCCGAGGTTACGTTAGAAACATTGTGGTGCGTGCTACTTATCTTGATATGAGTAGTATATGACGTGAGTCAGGAATGTAATGTCTGGCAGTAGAAGATGGGGAAGATCAAGAAAGGCAAAGCGGTAATAGAAAGCAATTAGTATGGAAATGCAAGAACAACGAAGTTCGAGACAATTATTGAACATTTTGCAAATTAACTATTATAGTATGCTTTTTCCGTTTTACCAAGTAACTCTGTAATTTATGTGCTAAGTATAGTCCGGTTGTCCTCACCTGTGTTTTCCTTCATTACAACATGACTGAGCGATTTACACCAATTACAATAACAGTAGAATAAATTAACCAGACAACAAAGCAATATGGATCAAACTTTGAAATAGATAAATTGTTCATTTTACTAACTTTTTTTGATTTTGTTATTTCCTATTACTGAGTATAAAACTAGTTTCTAAAAGCGTTTCTGGCTTCTTAACTATAGATTTTGTAGGAAAAACGTTAGTTGATAACCACTGAATTTACGTAGTTATTCATAGAAAAACGTACAGCAATCTATCACAGTTGTTTTTCGATTCATAGTTTTTCTAGAGAAATAAATGTTTAACCTACATGTAATATAAATTTTAAATTTATGTATATTTAAACATTACTAACTCAAATTCATTTTGCATTATCTGTTTGAATCTTCCCATTTATGTTAGGGACTGAAATCGATAAGCCTCTTATTGGCATATGTGCAGGTATATTCAGTTAACGACTTCCAAATAGAACGAAACACGCGTCCTGGATTCCGCTGTTTGTCCATCTTTGCTTATAATTACTAATCCAACATTCGGTCATTTTTACATTAATTCTCAATATTAATGATAATAATGACACTAACGAAAGAAGTACTTTGTGCTCTACCAATAAGAAGTACAATTTATTAGTTAAGAACTATAGAATTCTATTATCGAATTCTGTAACGTTCAAAAAACAATCTCTATACTCCTTTTGGTATATAGTTTGGATATAAGCTAAAGTTTTTCGCTTACGATGAGTCAAGAAACATGCTTCAAACGAGATAAAACTCTATACATTAGTGTCTTCCAACAAGAACAGCAAGTACTATTAAACCATCAAGTTGATACCTAGTGGCTAATATTGTAAGGATTGAATCCATTTTTAATGACTCAACAATTATCGAAAGTCGTCAGTGGATATGAGTCTCACTCTGACATATTTGATTCCAACAGTTACATTTCCTCCATAGAATATACGGAAACTAACCTAAAAGCTAGTTACTAATCAACACACTATTATCGGTTAGTTATATGATTAGAGGAAATATGTTTAAAATATAAAATACAAGGTAGAAAAAATCAGTGAGAATACCACTCTTAATAAATAAAATTTAAACAACGATTGGCAAAACGAGTTTATCCAACCATTAATTCTCTGTTACTCAGCGCTTCAACTACGATACACTCTTATGTAGACACTTTCGAGTTAGTCTTATGTAAATGGAAGATATTTATAGTCACTTTTTTATAAGACTCCTGGAATGTATTTTTTGCAGGCATTTAATAAATCAATCCTACTTGCGCATAATAATTATTCCTGTTCATTGCTGGTTTCTGGTCAATACAATTAGAAATAATCAGATGGATTACATATTTTTTGTTTTGTGATGAAGCAATATTCTCTTTAAATCGTACTTTTGTTTGTGTGTTTTCTCTCACTAGATGACGATTTAAATCTTCATTTAGACATGAAGCCATGACATTTATCTCTGGTTATTATGGTTATGTAGATATTTTTCAAGAATCAGAAGTGTAGTATATCTACAAATCACGCTAAATTTGAATACTGAAATGTGCTATTTTACCGTAGTTCCGTTCGGGGAAAAATAAATTAAGATGGCCTTGTCCCTAATGGAAACTACAAGTTAAGGTCAATTGAACGTTTTGAAATCATAATTTTATGCAGTTAGAAACTAAATATTCGTGAAAAGTTAAGGCTGTAATTTATACCATTTTCTTCAATTAAACTGCTAGTACACAGTTTGATAGTTGTAGAGATACAGCGATTTCTTTTATTTCCACGGTTCTTAAACTTCTGCATAAAGTACCGACTATACCTTCCAAAATAGTCACTTTTTCTCTCATTAACCAAAGTGCTACTAAATGTTTTGAAACTCGTTTGAAGGAAGTATATTCTGTGAAGAATTAGCTTGTTAAAATCGACTGTGTTATGGCTGACGAATGTACTATTCCGTTCCATTATATTGATGAATTATGGCTGAGAAATAATTGGTAGTTGACCTTGATTGAAAATAACAGTATGCACAAAATGACCACTTTACACGATAAATGAAAATCAAATTAAATATTAAGTAAACAACCATTTTTATAGAAACGCAAACTACTTACTCCAAATGTATGCATATGATTTCGAGAAGGATAATCTGAACCTGTTGTCGTAAGGTCAACTGGTACTGGTGTCATTGAACCTCCTAAGGACCCTATTATATTTGGTGTTGTTTGGGCTTGTGGTACATAAATCAAACTTGCTGTGTCGCTTGGTGACATGACAGCTCCATATCCCATAACTCCTCCATGCCCATAAAGCGCTGTAAACATTTGACCGTCTTCCATAATTGAGTTTCCCCCATTGGCTTGCCCAGGTATAAAATGATTTGCACCGTAAGTCACTACAGGTGAAGACCAACCACTGTTCATATTTGTAGACATATTTTCTTTAGCAACATCCATTGAGAAGCTTGTGGCTGCATTTCCGGGAGAAACCCCACCATCAGTTCCAGCGACATTACGAGCCAAAGTGTATCTTGTCGGTCGCCGACGAACACAAACTATTCCAATAATTAGAAACAGCGATATAATGGCCGTCACAGTTATCATAGCTAAAATTATTGTGACGTTTAGTGTGCCATCCCCGCCAAAACTCAGAAATCCGATGCCTTCACTCGGATCGATGAAAACGTTGATAGTTAACCATGCATCTGTATGGGAACGGGGAGTTCCCTGGTCTTCTGCACGCAAGTGCAGATTTATTGTTCCGGATGTCAAAGCTTGAGCAACCCAAATTTCACCAGTTGTTCCGTTTAAATACAAAGGACCAGCACGATATCCTTTCAAGTCATCTGGGTTTGAGGATAGCTTTTGTCCAGGTTTCACTGTTTTTGCTAAGCTTGATTTAGGAGGATTGAGAACATTAAGCAGACCATCCTCTAAAGTAACACCATCGATTGTTTCACCCCGAGGTCCAAGAAACAGATACTCAACTTTTCCCGCTTCGAAAGAGTCGGCATCCTCTGCTCTAAGTCTGCCAGCTAAACTTCCAGGTTTCATTCCAGTGGTTAGATTAATTGTTCTATCCACAGGTGTGGGGAAAACCCAAACAGGAGCATTGTCATTCGCATCTTGTACGTTTACTCTTAACATCGTTGTACTTGCAAGTGGCTGAGCTCCACGATCGCGAACTCCAATTTTAAGTATATATACAGGTACTGTTTCTCTATCTAGCTCAACTAACGTTTCAATTACTCCATTTGACGTAATTCGAAATATAGGCTGATCAACCACATGACGTGTCATTCCGACTTCACTATTGAGATTTGATCCTGGTCTATCAATGAAATGTTCAAAGCTAGTCAACATATTTGGTGAGGATCCAATAAATTGATTTCGTCTTGGTGACTTCGTAAGAGCATATGTGGCTAGCAAAGAAAACTGAACTCTTCCATTATCGCCCTGAAAAAAAATCGAAGAGATATCTTCAGTATGGTAATCAGATCTGTGAACAATGATAAAAGATGTCGAAATTATATTATTTTGTGGATTTACTCTGAAAAGTTATTGATCATAAGTATGGACTTCAAAGTGATCTACTGTCTTCTAAATTAATGTACGGTTAATCTAGCTATCTATGACTGAAGTGAGAAGGTGACAGTGAACACTCTACTTACCTGATGCTGGTATGCTTTTTACAAAATGTGAAGTAAATTTTATAAAAAGACAAGTACTTTTCATAGGTTATGCAAATGATCAATTGCAGTATACTTTTGGATTTATTTCACTAGTCTGATAAAACTGAAAAAAACGAGAGTTGTTGTAGTCGAAATTTCTTTTTTTCATAATATTTTGCCTGACTTGTGAGATATTTTCATTTAATTATGGTAAATAGAACAAAATCTGATGTTAGAATTAATCAAAACTATTCATCCATTAACCTTCAACTGACAATTTGTAGAAGACAGCCTAATCAATAAAACATATTAATCAAACAGTGTCAAACAATAATATCTGGGTTTGTAGGTATTATTACTCTGGTTCGACCTGATAATTTTGAATAAAGTGACTTGCACTGAGTCACGAAACGTCAGAAAATCTTATTTTTTTGCTCGTTGCCATATTACATATACATTCGTAAATAAACTTTTAGTGTCCGAATCACAAAACAAGGTTTCAAACTATTATGCTATTGCCTAAAGAGTGAATTAAATACTAGTTTTCTGGCAACTTCTGTACATCTTCTAAGGAAAAACCAATTGAAAGATAAGTAATTATTTAAAGAACAATGAAATAGAAATTGTTAATTACTTGGTCCGGATCTCTAGCTTCTAATCTTTGGCTTAATTGTGTAAAACGTGGGGCATTTTCCATGATTGTGAAAGCAAATTTTTCATTATCGCCTTGAGATGCTTCAGCTGATCTTACTGGAGGATTAGTGAAGACAGGAGCATTATCATTCTCATCTAATATTTCTATAGATACTGTTGTTGTAGCTGTAAACATTGGTGCTGAAACTGAATCCGTTACCAAAACAACTAATGTCACACTTCCAATTTTCTCTCGATCTAATGGAATCTGAAAGAAAAAATGTTGATTTGAACTTTAGTTTTTTCCCATTTGATAATGATCAACATCACGAAATATAGCATCTGAAGAGATAATTCAATGTGTTGTCATTTCGCCTTACCGGCAAACTTTAACTTTAGAAACCAATGGGTATAAGAAGAAACCGAATAGTGATATGGCTTAGATATATTCCGAATGCTGATTGAAGTTGTTTTCATTCACGTGAGAAAAACTTGTTTTTTTTGTATTTATTATTATTAATGTCTTTATTCAATATTATATTTTGGTACAATATAGAATTCTCAGCACAGGGTATTTCAACAAGTTACTTATAAAAAAAATCAGAAACGAAGACAAAAAAGGAAAAAAGGTTTAAAAAATTTTGAAAAACTGTACAACTTTCCAAATTAGAAACATGTTAAGAATGCAGGTTATTGACTAGGTTAATTCTAACAACCTGTTCGTCACAGAGTATATTTGCTAGGTAAGGTATAATAGAACTTTTATACTTTTGCTTGCGTGCATGGATTTTAATGTAATTACGTCTCGTTCTACCAGAAAATATACAAGGAGAAAGATAAGAGTGAAGGGGATGGTTAGTATTTGATAAAATAACACCTGCCAGAAGTTTGCATGATTTTAGATGTCTATTCACAACCATATTATTTATGACCTCGAAAGATTCACCACACAACTTGCTAACTGCCTTCAGCACTCTCCACAATACAGCAAAGTCTTTTCTCAAAAGCCCGGGAAAGAATAATGGAGAACACTAAAGAATAATAGGTAATATGCAAGAATTGACAAATTGTAAGAGTAAATGACGAGTAATCCCAAGAGCATGCAATCTCTTTATGTAGTAGGTCAGACGGAAAACCTTCTTTGATAATAATAAAACGTGGGAAGGCCAAGACAGATCAGAGGAAAAGGTAACACCAAGATAGTTGACCTTCGACACTGTTTATGAAACAGTCTCCGATGGTACAAGCATTATGTGATCTCAAAATGGTGTTTTGATGCCGTTCATGTCTCATGCTAAAGTTAACAGCTTGACATTTAGATGGATTAAATATAAGACCATTAACAACAGACCAACAATCAATACGAGACAAAAACTCATTCATTTCTATGGGATGTAAAGAGGAAGAGATAGGCATACATACAGTGAGATCATCCGCATATTTCACAAAAGTGTTTTCTGTGGAAGATGGCAGATCATGCGGAAAAAAAGAGAAAAGAAGAGGTGAGACAACATCTCCCTGTGGTACACTTTCATGAGACAGTAGAGATTCTGAACACTTTCCCCCAAACACAGTGTACTGTTCCCTTCCAGAGAGCTAGGAGCATAGCCAGTTGGTTGTCCATCTGCCAGGTTTGACTCTGATTAACTTTTTAAGTAAACATTGTCTTGGTATAGAATCAAAAGCTCAAGTGGGTTTTTTATGACTTAAGACATTTTCTCCAGAATTCTAATAGATTTTTGTGTAAATTTACGCTTATCAGCAAATCAGAAGATTTAACGGAAGAGAATCGTGATTGTTGAGTACTCATTTTATTTTTATACCATAACTACATATAACGAATAACCGGGATTATGTAACATTACACTATGGCAGCTTAAATATTTGAACTGTGAACAATATGCTGAATCTTAAAAAAACTCAAAAATTATGATTAAGTTAATTAATAAATTAAAGTATATAGCAGTCATTGGTCAACAATATTTAAAGGAAGAGTAAAATAAATGAGCCTCTTTACCTTTTCACAGATAGTTATTTTGAAATTTAGCTCTAGACATGAACAGATTAACTCACTCAAGTTTTAGAATTCTTCATCATATCTGTAAACTGTCACTCTCAATGTGATAAGAAAGATTCAAACAAATTTTTACCGATGCTTAAGCGAATTTTATGAATAAACCTGTAAAAATTGAACTTGTTAAGATTAATATTTTTGGATTACCATTATTATTTACCAGCCATTTACTTAACCAACCAACTATTTCAGAACTAAAAGTTTATGTACTCATTTTTGAAACACACTACTTGCGTAAGCGCTAATGATATTACTAGGCTACCCAAACCTAATTAAATTAGGCTAGGATTAAATGTGTTATCTACTGGTTGAAACCTAAGTACTTTAGCCAATGTGTCACCCCTCTAATAAATACCTTAAAAGTAGGCTTGCAATAAGTTACAGCTTGGGGGTTTTCATATGCATAGTACGAAATAAAAGTGGGTCTTTTATATTTTTTATTTGAAGCACGATTTCAGATATGTTCTTCATTTACAAAACAGAATACGAATTATGCTAATAAAAATGTATCACTATATGACGTAATGTACGAAGAGGATTCAAAATTCTCATAAGTTGATAGTAAATTTACATTTTTACTTTTCATAAGGTCATATATATATATATATATATATATATATATATATGGCTCTATTGTTGGTTGGTGCGACTTGGTCATGGAGACGTTTGCACTAATAAAGTTCACTTTATATCTGAATAAAAATCAACATGTACAAAATTGTTTTATAATAAACACTTAGTCATGTAAACAATTTTGTTACACAAGGGATTCAGTAGTGTTGAAGATGATTTGTAGTTGTAGAATACAATGTCATCGTTAAATGTTGCAGACTGGTTCATAATTAAATTATAAAACCTAGTAGAATTAGAGTTTTTAGTTTCTGCAACAAATAAGACTGTTTGTCGTATAATAAAAAGTTCCGTTCTGTCATCCAACAACCCATAACTTGTCATTTATAAATGAAATAAAACAGTAAGTATTTATCACTTCAAATCTCTAAACATTTTTTTCATTGTAAAATATACATTCAACAACATAAGAAATTAAATGATCACTATTTTATGATAATTACTGAAAAACCGTACTGTTTTTACTATAGAGATTTGGAACATATTCGATTGATTGATTGATTGAAATATCTAAGATGTCAAATAATGATTTATATTTCATTTCACTGGATAAGAGTGAATAAAACTAGTCAATACATCATATAAATAAATTACAGAGAGCACACCTAAGTGGCATTCTAGATATATCTAAGTTTATTTACATAGTAAATGAAAAGGCTGATCTGTATCAGGAAATCGGGCGCTTAAACCATGAGATTAAAATTGCTTTATGCCTTTCTTTTTAACAACCATTTCTATCTTCTTGTATTATATCCTTATACACAATCTTTCTTTTATACATTACTACCATTAAAATAACTAGTTTTATGAGTTTGATGTTTATTTTATGGTGCTAATGAGATGTGATAACTACGACTGATGCATGTATGTGCCTAGTCCTACGTTGTAGTTGACTGATTACATAGTAGACATAAACATTGATCAGTAAAACAACATTGGACACTATGACATGGGTGCTCAATCGGAAATTGTATAAAACATCTTAGTTTATCAAACAATTAGTCAATATCAGAAAAAATAACCAAATTAACTCTCATTGGGATATTCATATTTTGTAAAGACAATTAAACACTTAAATGAGCAAAAAAGCTGATTGGATCAAATTACATTTGTCTGCACTACATTGTATATTATATCGAATTATTATATAAGTAAATAGGTGAAGTATGTTTAAAGTGATTCAGGAAATCAATTCACTTTCAATAGCTTAAAACGACTTCTCATATATTTACTTAGTAAAAAAAATAGTAAAATTTCATAATTGCGGTTATTTATTTATGTTTATATCGTTTTATTGATTTGAAGTTTACTAAAGTGTACTGAAGCTCATATGGATATCAAACACTTGTCTATTTCAAACATCTTCAAGTTACTGTGGCAAAGCATTTGTTTGTTTAAATAGTATTAAAGTGTTATAATGTCATTCATTATACTCTTTGAGATGGTGAAGAGAAGATTTGTCGCTCAGGTCATTAAATCATAAACATAAGGATTGTAATTATTTCAGTGTATAATAACGCTTAAAATCATTTCGTATTATTTATTTGAATCTTCATTTTGATGTTTAGGTCTGGAATTGGCCAGTTTCTTATTGGCATATGTGTATCCTGTGCAGACTCGCAAGATTTTAACTTCGCTCCATCACACAAGCTCGAGGCTATCAGAAATCAGTGACTGACTGGTTAGCATGATAGCGTTTGAAGCGAAGGGTTCTGGATTCAAGTCCCCAAGTAAACATCAACTCTGAGATACAGGTGTATCCAGCTGACGAGTCACAAATATAACGAAACACAAGTCCTGTATTCCACTACTAGCTACCATCTATCTTTGCGTATAATAACACTATTATCAAATGTAAAAGACAAGGGTTATTCAGAACTGTCAATTTTTAATTAAATGGGTGTGATATGTTGAAAATAGTTTATACTTAACAATATCAAATGTGATCTGACAAATTTTACATTTACATTTTAAAATGCTTTTTTGCCTTTTTTGATTACTGTAGTTTATCAAACATACAAAACTTTGAGATCATTGGATTTCCTTAACCATAAATCAAGATGTTCGGTGAGTTATCGACAAATTCCAATGACTATAGACTATCATTCTATTTGAAATCATAACAGTTTGGTTTCTAAAAAACATGAAATAATTTTTCAATGAAAAGAGTAAACAATCATCGCAATTTGGATTGTTTCTTTTTTTTGCACTAACATATAATGATAACTACTATCAATGGCTAATGAACAATTCATTTCAACCTTGTATTGTATTCAATGTTCTTTTCCAAATGGTTTATCATCGTTATTTACAGAAAGAAAAGAAGAAAAAGAAAGTTTAATCCCTGAAACATTGTTCATTTAATAGTTCAATCATTAAAGTAATCTGTCATTTATTACAGAGACAAAACATTTCTATTATATATATATATATATATATATATCAAATGACCTAATAAATGAATTTAATCCCTTGTTTATTGACTTTCATATATGTTGATTATCATATTTAACTATGAATGAAAGTTCAATTGCTTCTCTGTACATAATTGTTTAACTCGTGTT